CCAGGAGCTTGTGTTGGTGACATAGTCAACAGGTTGAGTAATATCATGTCAGGTGATGGAAACAAGCCCATTATTTGCCTCAGTGCTGGTGGAAATGATAATGGGAAGGGGAGGAGACAGGAGCTGATAGATAAGTATAGTATGGCTGTAGATTTAATTAGGTCTAAGGGAAGGGTCCCGATCATATATAGAATCTTGTTTGGAAGAGGAATAGGCAATGAATGGATGTCTCGGGCAACTGGTGTTAATTGCTGGCTAGACAGGTATTGCAAACAACTTACAATCCTGTTCACTGACACCTGAGATAATTTCTATGGCAAACATGATATGTATACAAGGATGTAACCTGACTTGACCTGACTAGGTGGGTCATTGGTTTAAGCCGGGAGGTGACTTGGATCTGCCTAGCATGGGCTATTAAGCTTCATACAGTGCACCCTCTTTCTTATGTTCTTATGTTCTTATAACCAAAGTCATCATGGACTGAGAGAAATAAGATCCTGATTCTCACAACTCCTAGATCACTATCGTAAAACCACGAAGGTTTTGGAAGAAAACCAAAACGCAGATGTGGATACACAGATTAAACTGAGGCATTTGACAAATGTGATCACAGAATGACAACCCATAAAAGATTAACAAAGTCACCGGTGGTAGAAAAATTCTCATTGTTGGGGAAATCAAAGTCATTGAGTGGAAAAATGGGTTAGAAATTTTTCATGAGAGGAATGTTGTTTTCAGACAGGTGGCTCAGTTTGAAAAAGTAATGTAGAGGGAGATTTTAAGTCTTTAATTACAGTTTCTTTGGTGTTTTCCATAATGTGTTCATATCTTGTGACGTTGACAGACTAGGGCGGGAATGGAGCTAGGCCTAGGGACAGTTGGCCCCAGAAGATGAGGAGATACTTGTACCTCTTCCCATGGCAGACATAGGTCTCAGACACTCCCAAGACAGGGAGCCAAGCCCGGGTCACCATCTGGAAAAGACCCGGACCGGGAGAGTACCGGCGAATCAAGAAGTTGATAGACTGTTGAGAAGTGAATCGTGTTTCTCGTTCGCAATAAGAGAGACCTGCCTTACTTTATTCACTCCACCTCCTGCACTCACTGGCTACATCAATAATATGCAGAGTTTATATAGTCAATGAATCTCGAGTGACACAAATATCTTCCTATAAATATAAATCCTTAGCCGTCAGATTCATTATAAAAAAATAATCGCCTAGGATTTATTTCCAATATTTACCTTATGTTTTTATTATATTTATAGTTTAGTTTTAACTGTGTGACTGAAGGAGGGGTGTTAATGTTGCAGTTTAAAAACTGTAGTGTAAAGCGCCCTTCTGGCAAGACAGTGATGGAGTGAATGATGGTGAAAGTTTCTCTTTTTCGGGCCACCCTGCCTTTAAAATGGTATAAAATACCGACAGGTTGTTAGGTAAGACACATATGCAACAGTTAGGTATCTTTATTTCGGTATATTTATTTTAGGTATCTCGAAATAAAGATACCTAACTGTTGCATATGTGTCTTACCTAACACCCTGCCTTGGTGGGAATCGGCCAGTGTGATAATAAAAAAAAAAGATGATTAATAAAGGTTATCGTTATTCCAGGATACATACACTGAGAGGTAGATGCCTCCCGTGAGTCTTCAAGAGGAAAGTTACTAACTGGATCATTACCTCCTAGTGCCAGATCAACCAGAAGGCCAAAAGAAACACCAGCCTGTTTGACTAGGCAATTAACAGGCAAGCCTGGCCCCAGGCTGAGCTGATATACCTTAGACCACAACACCAGTCAAAGGTATATCATGAGTATACTGGTATACCTCTCCCATGGTATAAAACTTGATAATAAATACCGATAAGTTGGTTTAGAAAAGTACGTTAATAAACACTAGGACATATTTATTAAGAAAACATTTCAGTCCTTGAACCTTGATCACTTCTAACATACAGAGGTTGACAGACAGTATGTATAGGTGGAGAGTGAGGTGTGAGTGACGCACGGTGACCTGAAGAATGCCATGTTGGGATGAGGTTTAGTTAGTTTGATATGTTTATTATGTATCCCATACCCATCCTGTGGGTGGTAGTCAAAAGATTACAGAGGTACATAATGGGTCCGGAGACTGGGCCCCAAAGTTTTGATAGTTGAGCAAGTTACAAAGGTGACGGGTAAACAATGAGATCACGCGACTCCTGTGTTGCTGGGTAGGTGGTGCTTTGCCTGGTTGAGTATCATGTGTGCTAATGTTTTAGACATTTTGTGGTTTCCAGTGTTACTCTCTGTTGTGTCGGTGACGGTGATTAGTGAGGCTTCCAGACATCGTCTACATCTAAGGTCTTGTTCTGTGAGAACGAGTTGTGCCTCATCCCAGTTCATCAGATGTTCTGTGAAGTCTCTGTGGAGGACACAGGCGAACTCTAAGTCGCCTCCGCTACTGGCATTTCGATACTCGTTCAGGCGGACCGAAAGATCTCTGCCTGCTTCGCCTACATATAATAGTGCCCCATGGCCTGGTAGTTAAACCTCGCGCTTCACACGGCGAGGGTCTGGGTTCGATTCCCAGAGAGGGTAGAAACATTAGACGTCTTTCTTTACACCGGTTGTCTATGTTCCTCATCAGCAATAATGGGTACCTGGGTGTTAGTGGACTGGTGTGGGTCTCATCCTGGGACAAAACTGACCAAATTTGCGGGAAATACTCAGCATAACAAGCGGCTTTCTATATAATAGTATGTCATTGATGTCAACTATGGTCTGTATACCTTGAACATGTACTTGTAGTAATAAAGATATTATTATTATTATTATTATTATTATTATTATTATTATTATTATAAATATGTCCTAGTGTTTGCTTACGTTTTTTTTAAAGTACTATCTTCATCAGTGTCTGCCAAGCTCACAGCCTCTATATCTAGTATGACAAATATTAATGGTATTCTTTGGTTTTATCAAGAAACATAACATTGGTGTCCTCTGACTCATGGGAAACAAATCATCTGTTACAGTGAGGTAATGTCACTTTACCCTCTTCCAGGCGTGCATTAGCAATAAGTGCGTACCTCTCAGTGTATATACAGCGATGTTTTTCTGAACGTATATAGGGTGAGAAATGTATATTTCTCAATGCATATACACCGAGAGATGTCTTTCATTGTATATACATCAAGAGGTGTGCATTTTTCAGTGTATATACACTGAAGCTATCGTTTCGAACTGAGAAATGTGTATCTAACAATTTATATGCGCCAAGAGATGTGTATCGGTGAACATACACTTAATTTTTTTTTATTCCAGTTTCAGATATTGAATTATCGTTGAAAGAATGTGTGAGTCTTGGACGAAAGTCCCTGGATAACATCCCTCTGACCTAACCTAACCTAACCTAACCTAACCTAACCTAATCTAAACTAACCTAACCTAACCTAACCTAACCTAACCTAACCTAACCAAGAGGCAGGCAAAATACGGCCCGCGTGCCATATCCTGCTCTCCAGTGTCATGGCAGTTTACGAAATTTTATTGTGTATCCAATCTAAGGAAAAACATTTAATATGACTGTCCCAATCAGGAGCAGATGCTGGGGGTCGTAGCAGCAAGACCTGGCAACGTTTCGTGAACTTGAATCGCAGAAATCAAACTCAATCCATCCAGTAATCCAAATTTGAGGTTGCGGTTAGGAATTCTTTATATGTTATGATCTTTTAGAAGCTATTAAGTTGGTGTAAGATATACCTAATCTTATACCTCAAATGACTTCGTTTTATGTCTCGTATACCTAGCTGGCGGGTAGTTACAAGATCATTCTGTGGGTATGACAAGTGAGCACTTATCAGAACATATATTAGGAGAAATAGTGTTTTTGTCAACAGTTTAAGGAGAAAATGCATCTTTAGACTTGCAAAATATATCGTCTGACTTGCAAAAGGCCTTCGATACTTTTAACCACAATATATTATGTAAGAAACTTCAAGCTATCGGTATAGGTTCCGTAGGCTGATTTAAGTCCTACCTTAGCAACAGGAAACAAATTGTCAAAATCAACAAAACAGAATCAGAACCCCTGTCGATAGCATGTGGAGTTCCCCAAGGTAGTATTCTGGGTCCCTTGTTATTCCTCTGTTATGTAAACGACATGCCCATCAGTGTCAAGTGCAAACTCGGAATGTATGCGGATGAGAATTCTGTTAGTGTCAGGTAAAGTCCCACAAGATATAGTTAATGTAATAACACTGGAACTGGAGTCCTGCAGCAAATAGTTAGTAGACAACAAACTATCGCTACACCTCGGGAAAGCGAAAGCTATACTCTTTGGCACGAAATATAAACTGAGAAGGGTAAATAATTTTAATGTCCAGTGTAATGAGGAACCCATCACTTCAGTTTCCTCAGTAAAATATCTGGGAATCCCCTTTGACCCATGCATGTCAGGAGAATTGATAGGGAACAGTGTAGTAAAGAAAGCAAATGCCGGATTGAAACACCTCTACAGACAAGCACAGTGTCTACCTACTGAGGCTCACAGGACCCTATGTCTAGCCTTTATACAGTGTCATATGGACTACGCTTGCTCTTCATGGTACTCTGCCTTGACAAAAATACAAACAAACTGAAAGACAGACTGCAAATCACCCAGAACAAAATGGTAAAGATTCATCCTGGACCTGGGTCCTGGATAGTATAATAATAAAGTATTAAAGGACCCCAGTGGAAATAAGTCACTCTGTCTGACTTTTTTGGGTTATCCTAGGTTCTCTACACATATGCTGCTATGTATGATAATTCTATGTAACTGTATTTATGTATACTTGAATAAACTTACTTACTTATTTATTCAGATTAAGTATGTGTTTTAACATGAGTTCGGAAAAAATGTTTTACTTTAGTTTCCCCTTAGTTGATCTTCGGGGTGAGTGCATGTCAGCGCCATCTGTTTTCCAGCGGTCATAACTTAGTGTCCTCTGGGTAACCACAGAATTATATATTTTATTTCATTTCTTCTCTTGGTTTCTATGTTTACTTGTGGCCCAGGAGGATATCAGTCACCTCGTCTACCATCTCCAACCTCTAAACTGTGAGTATCTCGTCTTGTGTGAGCCACGGTGGCTCGTAGCCTGGTGGCTAAAGTTCTTGCTTCACACGGCGAGTGTCCGGGTTCGATTACCGGCGAGGGTAGAAACATTGGGCGTGTTTCATTACACCGGTTGTCTATGTTCACCCATGAGGATAAAATGGGTACCTGGGTGTTAGTGGACTGGTGTGGGTCGCATCCTGGGACAAAACTGACCTAATTTGCGGGAAATGCTCAGCATAACAAGTGACTTTCTATACAGTAGTATGTCATTGATGTCAGCTATGGTCTGTAGACCTTGTACTTGTAAATGTAAAGATATTATTATAACCTTGTCATATGCACAGTTAGAGTAGCGACCAGTGAAGAGGCGGTACCAGGAGCTATGACTTGACCCCTGCAACCACGATTAGGCGAGTACATTCCTTCCTTGTTGACGAATGTACTGCAATATCCTTGCGATTATCTTTTCAAGATTGATGGACTGATTATATCGACTCCAGGCTGAGGGACAGATTACCTCAAAGTCTTTCTGATCTTCACCATTCTTTGTATTGGACTGATGAAGCCACTGTGTGGCGAAACGTTTCCTTAATTAAGATACCCAAGTGTTGCACATGTCTTATCAACGGTTCTCTGAACCATTTATCTACATATCTGGGTATTTTACTCGGATTCATCAGTGCTAAGATACTGAACACCGACATCCAACCTGGGAGGACTGATTACCTTACCTTGTACTGTTACTGTACATCTCTATGGAACTGAAAAAGCCACTGTTTGGCGAAGCATTTCTAAATTAAAAATACCCAGGTGTTGCACATACGATTATTCATCTTGTCAGTATTGTGTATCACATCACAGAACGGGTAGTGTTCGAACGTATGGCGAGTCAGTCCTAAAACCCTCAGGCCAGTGCGTTAACCACTCTACTGAGATTCCTCTATATTTCTATACACCATAGGGAGGTTTTAGGACTAGCCTGTCATGGGTTCGATCCCCACTCGTTCTGTGGTTTATCTGCGGTAGTGCTATCGTGATTGTACACCATTATTACAATATAAGTAACAATGCCCACCGTATTCGATCACCCCGTGATTATACCCGGACTCTTCCGATGTTAGCCAGGCGTTGTTCAAGTGAAATCACGTGACACTAGAGTAACGAACATACTCGCATAAGGATGCTATATAGTATATACAAGTATTGTACTATTAATAATAGTAATTTTTTATAATGGCCTAGCTGACATCTGTAATATACTATATAAAGCACCTTGTTATGCAGGGCATTTCGGGCTAATTAGCTTAGTCCCCCAGGATGCGACCCACACAAGTCGCCTAACACCCGGGTACCTATTTTACCGATAGGCGAACATGGACAGCAGGTGTCTTAAGGAAACTCGTCCTGATGTTTCCACCCGTACCGGGGATCGACCCACGGACCTCGGCATGTGAGCTGGGTGCACTAATAATCGAGGTACGGGACACCAATCTGATCTCAGTTGCTTTCTAGAGATGATTTATAAACTTCAGTGAGGTAAATAACTTTAGTCACTTCCTTAAAATAATTTTAATTATATATACGTATATATATACTTGTACAGTTCACAGCCAATATATATACACAAAGCAGGTCTAACAATTTTGTCAGGAAAACAGGACAAGTGTCTCCTGACAGGTTAAATTCTGACCCACAACTGATTTAACATTCGCTGAGCTACCAGTACTAGGTTTTACAATAATTAAAACAGAATAAATGGGAAAAAGACACCAAGTTATAAACACTTCAATATACTTTTGCCTCTTGTGTTATTTTTCCACGTCTAGTCTGTGTTATGTCATTGTTACCGCACAGGATTATTGTCTTAAAATGATGACTTATGAAGAATAAGTCACAATGCCTTACTGGAACAATTCACAACCCGCAGTTAGAGAATAACCTCGTAATGACTTAAGAACCACGTAAGTTCCACTGTCTTCTAATAACATGTTCATTTTTTCCACTGTAATCTACTTTATCCATAATTACTTCACAATGCCTTACTGGAACAATTCACAACCCGCAATTAGAGAATAACCTCGTAATGACTTAAGAACCACGTAAGTTCCACTGTCTTCTAATAACATGTTCATTTTTTCCACTGGAATCTACTTTATCCATAATTACTATCACATTTGCTTTGTTTTGTAAGGTGAAGTCTATGAACTTTACTTAATTCAAGGTATAACTTAAATCTTTGAGGATAATTGTGTTGCAGAGGTCCATAATTACGGACAATGTGGATTATAGTGGGAAAATTAACTTGATATTAGAATATGGGGGGGACTTGCATGTCCCTTTAATAGTAGTACTACACTGACTGAAACTTATAAATATTTCCTTTCCAGGTGTGGATTAGTTGTAAATGTGGTTCTGTGTAGACATACAACGTGGTATTACAAACATATTCTTGTTGTATTGTGATACATAGAGCTGCATACACTAATCCATGTGTTGTATAGATATAATTTGTAAATATGATATGTTAGTGAAGCTATGAAAGCCTTTGATGAGGCTGCAGTCACAGCAGCAGCTAGAATGAGTGATGGGCTGCAGGAGCAGCAGCTGAGGGAAGATCTATAAGTGTAGTAGCTAAGGGAGGATGCTATCAGCCTCAGTGGTCGTCACAGTATCAGTCTCCCCCTTGAGTCCTACTTCAGGAACAGTGGCGGAAGAATTTTCCGAAACATCAGCTTCGTTGTCCGCTTCAGGAAGCGATGGTAGCTTCTCTTCTTTCACTGGCTTCTCCTCACCAGTGTTTTCCTCAGTCTGTTGAAGGAAAACTTATTAGGCTACATTACTTAACGATGTTTTAGAGACGTCATATTTTTCATTAACAACACTAACATATTCAAGATAACATCATTGGGGTAATTTAGATTCAGTGTCTACACATATTCAGTGTTTGTCACAAGAGACTTACTTGTGTAGTTGTGGTGTTCTTCTCATTCTCAGGGCGTATGGCTATTACCTGAGGGTAGGAAGAAGACAGAAATTAGTTCACATGGGGGAAAAAAGAGGGTATATACATCAAGAAGCACAGATCTGCGGATATTCCAGGAAGTGTAGGTCTTACTGGAGATAGACAATTATCAGCATACATACCATGAGGTATATCTTTGATGAATAAAATGCCTATGCATCACCTAGTATCTATTTGAGACATTTCGCCCCCTCCTACAAGGGATTTATGAATCATAGCCCCCACTTGAGGGTAAAACGTATCTCGGTACAGATATACCTAGGACTTAATATTCAGAATGCTTATTAATCATACCAGTAATAAAACTACTAAATACATCTGTATATGCATGCATATATCGATATATACATGCACATATTTAAATATGCACGCATGGTATATATTACCTATGCATGTATAATCGTTGGCGATATAGCTGAAAAATATAGTGAGCAAATGATGACTTAAGGTTTTGATTAGTAATAAGAGACTGATTTTGGTAATAAGGAACAGGTCCTGAAGGATTTACAGAGCTAAATAATAGGGCGAATATGATGACCATCAACATATGAGGATTTAAACGTTCTAAATAGGGTCGTTTCACTAACCTCTGTGTGGAAGAAGGTTTGGAAGCCGTCTCCAGACTCCTTGTTGGTGGTGGTGTTGACCTCGACGCGGGAGCCATTCACAACATGTACCTCGTGGGTAGAGTTGTCATAGTTGTCTGGAAGGTCATCCACCTTGGGGAAGCTGGGTTCAATCTGCCGACCACAACAACATAAGCTTAGTTAACTCGTGGAATGAGGATTTGAACCCACAGCATACCATATATTACAGCTAATACTAGGTTACATGGTTTATTCGTCAGGAAAGAGGGCAAGTATCTTCTGACGCGGATCTTAGGCAGATATTGACCTGTTAACTAAAACATCCACTGACCTAACCCAGGTAAGTTTCAGTCTCCATTAAAAAAAAAGGCTAAAGATTTTCCAAAGGGAAACAGTTAATTAATGTTAATTGTTATGCTAGTCTTTAATTTTTGCACCAAGCCTAGCAACTTAACCTCGCTGGAATTTGTAGTAATATAACTCAATTTTTTAAGATTAGTTAAATTATCAAGACAGGTTAATTTACTTAACTTGTCTTGATAATTTAACTGATATTAAAAAAAATATGATTAATTGCAGTTCTTGGGAGATGAGTCTTTGTGATCCAGTGTTGATTGGAATATATCCACGTTTTTTTTTTCCTACGGTACTTACCGGGAAAAGTGGGAATCTTGGAAAGATTGGTCTGTTGAAGCCAAATCCAATGCCAGGGAATCCCAAAAATCCACCTGCAGGAACGATCACAGTCGTGTCGTTGTCCGAGGAGTCGCTGTCTGAAGAGTTGCTGCCCCAGGTGTCGAACCAAGTATCGTTATCGTTGTCGTCTTCGAAAAATGGCCCAAAACTGGGGAAGCTCCATGGGTTGAAGGCTACGGGCCTGGGTCTTGGAGTGTCAAGAGACAGCCCCAGTAGTCGTCTGATCAGCATGAGATCGCGTTGCAGGCTCATGTAGTCCTCTGTTGGAAGCAAGTACAACACTTAATGAGTACAACTCCAAGGAAAAATTGATTTTATATTAATAGGAGGTGGCTCAGTGACTTACACACTGGCCTGGAGTTTTACGACTAAGTTTGCCATGCTTTCAACCCCCCACCCGTACCGTGGGTTAATAGCACTAAATGTTTGTCACTCCACGATTCCAGAAAGATATCCCAAAAGTTTTCTACCTGAATGATCCAAGAACTATATTTCTCGTATCTCAATAAGCCCTCTACTTAAGTGATCATTGTTGCCCAAGTGTCTCAATTATAAACTTGTTTTTTTTAAACCATTTAGACAAAGGAGTTCCCGTACCCATAAACCAAATCCCCTCTACCTTGATGTCCGCCAAAATAAATAAATATATATACTACATATATATATATATATATATATATATATATATATATATATATATTATATATTATATATATATATATATATATATATATATATATTATATATATATATATAATATTATATAATATAATTTATATATTATATATAATTATATATATATATATATTATATATTATATAATTATATAAATATTTATTATATAATTATATATATATATATAATATATATATATTTATATTAATATATAAAATTTATATATAATATATATATATTTATATATAATATATATATTATATATATATAATAATATTATATTTATATATAATATATATATTTAATATATAATTATATATATTTATATATAATATATATATTTTATATATAATATATATATTTATATATATATATATATTATATATAATATATATATTTATATATAATATATATATTTATAATATAAATATATATTATATATTAATATATTATATTTAATATAATAATATATTTATATTATAATATTATATTTATATATATATATATATTATATATATATATATATATTTATATATATATTATATTATATAATATATATTTATATTATATATATATTATATAAAATATATTTATATATATATAATATATATTATATATAATAATTATATATATAATATATTTAATGAGTAACAAAGGAGTATGATGTAGTTAAATATCAGCTTTAAAGACTGAAAAATAATTAGAATAGGCGTTCAAAAAAGGACTCTTGCAGTCACGTAAAACATTTTGCTAGCAATCATCTTTAATTGTGCGTGTTTTTTTTATTTGATTATAATTTAGGTTTAAATCGACCCAACTTTTATATAATACTTATTCTATACATATACACTGAAATGTTTACCTATGGGTGTATATATGTACTGAGATATACACCCCTCGTTGTATATAAACTAATATACACCGTGATGTATATTATCCATGGAGATTGGCGCTAGCTCTTGGAGACTTGACTTCCCAAATGATTGCACACTTGGTCACGTTTGTCTTGAAGTTATGTCAAAAATTCTGCCACTAGATCAACAAAGAGGCCAGAGTGAAGGGTAACCCAAACCCTCTAGATAAATACATTACACTGAGATATACATCTCTGTATCTCACCTAGTTGTGGTTGCAGGGGTCGATTCATAGCTCCTGGCCCAGCCAGTGTATATACAGTACGCTGAGTTAAATTTAATCCCTATTTTTGAATAGGTATCCTTGACACCTGGTGGACAGGTGACGTGTAGGCTTTTGACACTTTAGCAATAGACAGGCTTCAAGACGACCAAAATTTTGTTATATTTAGGCCTTTGCACATGTGTTCTCTCCCTTAACTTGCTGGCATGTTCCTAGTTGTTAATACTTCCACAGCGAGATTATTAAACTGAATCTTATGTGTTGATATATGTTAATTTGCTAGACATATCAACCCCAAGGCTGAGTGCAAGAGGTAGTATGTGCGATCTTTTCAACAGGGCTTCCTTGATGCTAGTGAAAGTGGATCAAAGTACAGCTATCGTCCCCTTCCTTGGATCAAACCTGATTATAGCACATTCCTAAACGCTGTATGACCTAAACTGAGAATACTTAAGTCGTTATGCACTGTACATATTTCACTAAACAAAGTATTTTTTAAGACGTTATGTACTATGTATTACAGGTCCAGTATGGACACTAGTTCCCAAATACGTGCAGAAATATATAAACGACTATCACTGCAACTTAGAGCGAACTGAAATAAAGAACAGAACCTGACACCAAGAGGAGCCAGTGAAGGACATGATCACAAAAAAATGAGAGGAAATGACAGGATAGAAGCTATGGAACTAAAAAAAATTAAACATCTAAAACAAGAAAACTTACCGATTAAACGACGTCTCGTCTCTATGGAGGATTCGCCGACCCTGTTGAAAATACCAGTGTATCAATTACACATATTGGTGTTGGTTAAAGGGGTTACTGCAGGAAACAAACTTGATAGGCAAACAAACCTTCATTTGTTATAATATCAAAAGGCAGGACAAGTGTATCCTGACGCGGATCTTATAAGATAGATGACCCGTTTAAAATTGTTAAATAAACTTCCAGATAAAGTAAGGTTTCTCAGGACTAAGACGCAAGTCTGCCATATGACACGTTTTAAATTAAGTTTTTGTGGAGGCAATGAAGGCAACGAGACTAATATAATAATGCTCTACACGGCGAAACAATATGATACACAACTTTATCAAGAGAACGAAATGAGAAGCTGGTTGAATATGAATTCCTATGGAAGAGTGGAAAAAAAATTTTACCCTTCAGGCTTCTGGTTTTTGACAGATTCTTCCTGCCCTTCTTCAGGGGTTTGATCTTTGTTGGAGACATGTTCCTCCCCAGGCTCTTGGTCCGTGTTGGAGTCCTCCGATAGGTTAGGTTTCTGGTCAGCATGATTAGTCGGGAGTAGCCATGAATCCTCTGGCTGTTCTTTTTCAAAATCTGAGGGCGCCTGAACCACCTCGAGGGCCTCTGGCGAGATAAATATATGTTGACAATCTCTGTGGTTCACGCGATAGACGACATGATTGGAATTAGTAAGCCAGGGGGTAGTTTAAGTTGGATAAATTTAGATTTTTACAAGTTAAGGTATCCTGTCTCAGTTTGCTCATGTACAGACCAAAAGCTGTTATCCTGCCTGCCTCAGCTCGTCTGTTGGCTAAGAGATAGCTTCCCACAGCTTATTTACAGGCTAAGAGATGTTATTCTACCACAGCTTATTTACAGGCTAAGATGTTATACTACCACAGCTTATTTACAGGCTAAGATGTTATCCTACCACAGCTTATTTACAGGCTAAGATGTTATACTACCACAGCTTATTTTGAGGCTAAAGGCTGTAGCCCTACCTTCAAAACATTTCAAAACCCAGCCCTTTCTAAGGTACATACTCAGCGCTGTATAGCCCTTGTGGCTTAGCGCTTCTTTTTGATTATAATAATAATAATAAGGTACATACTGCCACTTTCTTTCCCCCCAGGATGCCATCCACAACAGTCGACTAATACCCAGGTACCTACAGCCAGGTGAACATTAGCAGCAGGTGTTAAGGAGACTTACACATCTCGCCCTACCTAAGATTCATCTCGCAATTATTGACTAACATTCGGGTACCTATTTACTGCAACACTTGTAAGGAGTCCTACCTACATGTCTCAGGCAGAAAGGTATAGAAAGTAAAATAGTTATGGATGTGGGGGGGGGGGAATAAAAATCCTGATGCCAAAATATAAACTTAATTTACTTGCTGACTTACGGAACTGTGTGTATGTACTATTATTCTATGGGAGTACGATACGATGTTGCTGATTAAACGTGTACAAAGTAGTTTAATTTATCTTAGTTTACCCTAAAAACACGTTAGTTTGCTCATGGGGGTTTGTAACCTAGAATAACCTTATCTAGAATAGCCTAATTAACTTAGACTTGCATTTTATAGACGCCTAACACGAGCAGAAACCATTGAAATGTAATGTCTAAACGGGAAAGAGAAGCCAGACAATCCTAGTCTCATGCCAAGGTGGTACTGAAACTCGTATTTATGCTAAAATATTAAATCCGATAAGTCTAAACTACCCCCCATAAGAGATTAGTAATCGAAAAAAATGGTGGTAATAATAATAATAGGTAAAATAATTTTTAACAAGCTAATGAAACCATTTTTTTTTCAAAATAATAATGATAACAAAGGCCTCTTTACAATATTTACTATTAAGTATCTTTACGTTATTACATCTGATACAATTTTTTTTAATAGGCAGTAGATTATGTTACATTGTGCTGTGAAACCTATGGCAAGTTGCCTCAAAATTGTAATTGTCAAAACTACCCAAATATATATATATATATATATTACAGTGGACCCCCGCATAACGATCACCTCCGAATGTGACCAATTATGTAAGTGTATTTATGTAAGTGCGTTTGTACGTGTATGTTTGGGGGTCTGAAATGGACTAATCTACTTCACAATATTCCTTATGGGAACAAATTCGGTCAGTACTGGCACCTGAACATACTTCTGGAGTGAAAAAATATCGTTAACCGGGGGTCCACTATGTCGTGCCGAATATGTAAAACTGGTCAATTAGCAAGAACTCGTGTAAAATTAAGTCCTTTCTAAAATTTTCTCTTATACGTTTAAAGATATTTTTTTCATTAATTTTAATGTAAAAAAAATTAATTTTGCACCAAAAGAATCTTAGAAAACTTACCTGACCTTATTATAACAAGAACAATTTATTTTAGCCTAACCCAACTAAATATATTTTAGATTTGTTTACAATAATTTAATACTAAACAAACACAGTGAAATATATTTTTTTCGTTAGGTTCAGAATGATTTTGGCGAAATTATTGCATACACAAATTTTCGCTTGTCGTATATGGCAAGATGAGCGTTGCTATTTAAGCCAAGATCGCAAGTTCTGCCTATTCGGCACGACATATATATATTTATATATATTTATATATATATATATATATATATATATATATATATATATATTATATATATATATATTATGAGGAGAGAGTGGGAGAGAGTAGAGTGGAGAGAGAGTGTGGAGAGAGAGTGTGGAGAGAGAGGTGTGGGGAATGGGAGAGAGAGTGAGAGAGAAGTGGGAGAGAGAGATGTGAGAGAGATGTGTGGAGAGAGAGAGTGTGGAGAGAGAGAGAGTGGAGGAGAGAGTGGAGAGAGAGTGGAGAGAGGAGGTGGAGAGAGAGAGGTGGAGAGAGAGAGTGTGGAGAGAGAGAGAGTGTGGAGAGAGAGAGTGTGGAGAGAGAGTGTGGGAGAGAGAGAGAGTGTGTGGAGAGAGAGATGGAGAGAGTGTGTGGAGAGAGAGAGTGTGGAGAGAGAGAGAGAGTGTGGAGGAGGGAGAGAGAGAGGGAGAGAGAGAGTGTGGAGAGAGAGAGAGAGTGTGGAGAGAGAGAGAGTGTGGAGAGAGAGAGTGTGGAGAGAGAGGGAGAGAGAGTGGAAGAGAGTGGAGAGAGAGAGAGTGGAGAGAGAGGAGAGTGGAGAGAGAGAGGTGGAGAGAGAGAGAGTGGAGAGAGAGAGAGTGGAGAGAGAGAGAGAGAGAGAGAGTGGAGAGAGAGAGAGAGAGTGAGAGTGGAGAGAGAGTGGAGAGAGAGAGAGAGTGGAGAGAGAGAGTAGAGGTAGAGAGAGAGAGGTAGAGAGAGAGAGAGAGAGGCACGGTTCTCGATATATATGTATATACACTAAGTGAATTAATTTGATCACTATTTTAAGCATTAAAATATTCTTGACTGGTGATGTACACCTGACATCCAGCCTTAATGACCCTCGTGTAGATGGTACATTTTAAACCAACCAATCTCGCAGTACCTGAAAGTTATCCATTTTCTGGCAGAAAACAGTACACAACTTACTTGGAGCGGCGTTGACAGCTACTATTAGTAGTAACAAGGAGGAGAATAGCACCTTCATGTTGAGTGTGTAGAGTAACCCGGTCGTCTGGATTAAGGTGGGTTGACTGGCATATATATACATACTGCCGGCTTACTGCCAAGCCTCACTACGCCAGAAACCCAAAAAAAAATTTCCAAATTGAAACCACACGATACCATCATTTTGCAGTTCATTCTGTACGTATATTCTACTCTCCTTGAGGATCACATAGAACCTGGCTATATATCTGACTATATAACTCGAAGAAAAGAAGAATGATATATGTATATGTGGCGACTGATATTTTACGTCACGCGAGCCAGTAGGTGCCTTGGATGACGTATTGATACCCGTTTTCCAGATTAGTTACATTAAGCTGTTTGTTCTAGAGAATTCCATTTAGTAAATTTTAATTTAGATCTTGTATTTATTTAGATTTTTTTCAGAATGATCTTGAGGGCACCTGGGTGTTAGGGGAGATTAAATGACCCAGGTGGAAATCAAGATGACTATCCCCTCAAGGGGGGTTCCTTGATGCTGGTGAGGAGCTCTTGATCTAGGGAATTGGATCTGTGTTCCGGTTCCCTGAATTGAGTCCGAATACCTTCCAACCCCCCCCCCCATGCGCTCTACAATCTTATGGGTTTAGTGCTCCCCATAATTATAAGAATTCGAGAAGTATTAAGTAGGCCTGCTAGGCATGTCTAACTCGCACCCATCCTGGGTTACTAACCCATTAATTAAAAAAAATATATATTTTCTTCACACTTGCCCTTCCCCAGGCTGCCCCATGAATATAATAACCAGGTATGAGTGTCTGAATCTGTGTTTTGTGAATATATTATGTATTTGTGTGTCTGTGGATGTAGTTGAAGCCTATACACTACACGAGGGTCATTAAGGCCTCAGGTAACCTTTCTACCACCAGACAGAGAGAAACGTCGTCATGTTTCACTCTATGTGCGGGTTAATGTATAGTCAAGAATACAGAGTTGACTTTAATTCCTAAAATAGGGATTAAAGTCAGTGTATATACACTGAGAGAAATGCGCCTCTTGATGCATATATCCTGTGGTAATAGATTACACAAAATTCGTCAGAAAAAAGGTCTAGTGGTTTCCTGATGTGGGTTTGTTATATGATGACCCGCAGCTGGAGTTTTTGGTCATCTGACCGAGACCTTCCGCTGGCTTACCGCTCCACCACTCTTGTCAGCGCACACTAGTAAGCTGTACCTAACTTAAAAGGTTTTTAAATCGAGCGAAATGTGACCACTGACAAACCATTTCCACATATAACTATAACATTTTTACCTCTGGAACACGAGGAGATATGTTTAACTTTGGGAACAGATTGGATGCATACTGGAAATTTTATGTCATAGACACTGTAATAAGTGGTGCTAGGACAGTGAAACTAGGTAAGTGAGGCACTAGAAATGAGTACTAGAGCAAAGTGGAGTAGACTAGAGCAAGTGGAGTATAGACAATGAGGTACAGAACAAGTGGAGGACTAGAAGCAAGTGGAGGTACTAGACAAGTGGAGGTACTAGAACAAGTGGAGGTACTAGAGCAAGTAGTACAGAGCAAGTGGAGGTACTAGAGCAAGTGGAGGTACTAGAGCAAGTGGAGGTACTAGAGCAAGTGGAGGTACTAGAGCAAGTGGAGGTACTAGAGCAGGTGGAGGTACTAGAGCAGTGAGGTACTAGAGCAAGTGGAGGTACTAGAGCAAGTGGAGGTACTAGAGCAAGTGGAGGTACTAGAGCAAGTGGAGGTACTAGAGCAGGTGGAGGTACTAGAGCAAGTGGAGGTATAGGCAGTGGAGTACTAGAGCAAGTGGAGACTAGAGCAAGTGGAGGTACTAGAGCAAGTGGAGGTACTAGAACAAGTGGAGGTACTAGAACAAGTGGAGGTACTAGAGCAGTAAGCCACAAGTGGAAACTACACACACAGCCACAGGGACACCAGGAAGTATTTATACAACGCAATATTAAACCTTTGTAATAAACTAGACAACGACACAATGGAAGCTGTATACAGTCGAACCGTAAAAAAGAACCTCTCCTTCCCATCGTGTTATTGAAAGTCATGAGGACCCTGGAGCTGCGTTTCAACCCCAGCAAACTCAAAATTAGAAAACCAAAATAGGCTTTAATTTTTGTGTGCTATTTTCTATCTTAAATTTCTTATGTTCTCGTGATTTTCTGTTTTAAGGAAAAAAAAAGTATAGATGGATAATTTATTCGCATAATACTGTATATTTGTTAAGGAATGTTAGAAAAGGAGGTTGGAAATTTGCTTTGTGTGTTGAGCTGCAGCTCTTGGGTTATACAAACACTAGGCCCGGTGGCCTGGTGGCTAAAGCTCCCGCTTCACACACGGAGGGCCCGGGTTCGATTCCCGGCGGGTGGAAACATTCGACACGTTTCCTTACACCTGGGCTGTATAGCCCTTGTGGCTTAGCGCTTCTTTTTGATTATAATAATAATCCTTACACCTGTTGTCCTGTTCACCTAGCAGCAAATAGGTACCTGGGTGTTAGTCGACTGGTGTGGGTCGCATCCTGGGGGACAAGATTAAGGACCACAATGGAAATAAGTTAGACAGTCCTCGATGACGCACTGACTTTCTTGGGTTATCCTGGGTGGCTAACCCTCCGGGGTTAAAAATCCGAACGAAATCTTATCTTAGGACGAGTTGTAGTCAGTGAAATTTGATATTTTGCGTCATTTGATTCTATGGGTATTTTCTAACAGTTGTTAGTTATAGCTCCTGGGCCAACGTGTGGCGAGTCTTGGTTGAGTAGCTACGAGGTGTTGGTAAGGTGAAAGGGAGGGGAAACGGTGGTAGTAGTGAAAGGGAGGATAGCAGTAGTCTTCCTGGAACTTATGGCTGATCACACTGTTGATACGGCAAGTGAATGATTCACTGCTGCCTCATACCCTGCTTAGCCGTGTCTCTGCTGAGCTGGCTGTTACCCCTGGCTGACTGTATGGCTTGCTGGCTAGAAGTGTCAGCGAAAACAATGGCCACAAAAGACAAAGGCCACGGCAGACAGGAGAATAACGAGGATGGGTAATGAGAACCTTCAAAACAAGGAAAATACTGTCAGTAGTGACACTTTGTTGCTCGTGCTCCCTCGTTTGGAATATTGCTCAGAGTTGACGGCCCCGTTCCGGGCAGGAGAAACATTAGAGTTGGAACAAATACAGAGATCGTTTACAGACCGCATAGAGCCAAAACATTTAAATTACCGAGAAGGCTTTAAAGTCTTAAATATGCACTCACTGGAATGGATATGTGCATAATAATATATACCTGGAAAATAGTGGAGCAAGATATATGGGAGGAAGTGCAAAATAAACCCAGTGAACAGCAGGGGTGCAGTGAGCACAATAAGGAAACACTGTATCAACATCCGTGGCCCCAGCTTATTCAATATCTTACCAGAAGATATTAGAAACACTGCTAGGACAAGTATATTCACCAGATGTCAGTTCAACCAGGTTGTGATGGATATGTGGGCCAGCGGGACACCAGCAGCAACAGCCTGGTTGACTAAGCAACCACCAGACGAGTCTGGTCCATGGCTGGGCTCCGCGAGTAGAAAAACTCGCGGAATTCATCAGAGATGTACATAAAGAACAATAAGACACAATACCGTGACTGGAACAATACACACAACAATTGCAACAGGCCTACTGGCATATGTTTGGAAGATGTTTCTCGGTAGAATATTTGTCCAAAATCTGTGAAAATTCTTTTATATACGTTAATGAATATTTGTGTAATCCCAGGCTATCTTTATAATAAAAACGTTTCGCCAACCATCATCTAGACTGGGACTAATATACTGTCCCCAGTTCCTATACCATCACACTCATCTCTATTGATAAAACAACTGGTTGTCGAAACATCTTAACAGTCCATATATCTAAGCGTTTCGCACATATCTCGCTCCAAACTGTCTATGGGAGTTAACGCACAATTATCATACACCTACATAACTTCCTGTCACAAGGCTGATTCTACGCATTTATGTTCATCACCATTCAATGGGTGACTGAGCACAAACGTCGTCACAATACTAAGTGTACTAGGCTAAATAAATGACACGTCTCGAAAAGGAAACTCCAGGTGACTCTTCCGTCCCTTCTGAACCATTGTTAAATGTATAAGTGAATTAGAAAACAGATAAGTTGATGAATTAGACATTTATGCAGCATTTTGGCAACTTTACAAGGTATCAAGGCCTAGTTGCCGGGTTACCATCCGGAAAAGACCCGGACCGGGACAAGACCGGCGAACCTACCACAATACAGTCGGGCAAATTAAGTCAATTTTGTCCCCAGGATGTGACCCACACCAGTCGACTAACACTCGGGTGCCTATTTACTACCAGGTGAACAGGGACAGAGTTTGAGCTTGCTACCACCTGCAGCTCATAAGACTGCCATCCCCACGAGCCCCTTTGAGGCGGGGTAGATGGCAGACCAGAGGCCTAGCTTCTCCCTACGAGCCCCGTGAGGGCGGGGAATGTGGCTAGGCATGGGGACACTTGGTCCCAAAGATGAGGAGGTACTGTACCTCCTCCCATGGGAGACTTTAGTCTCGAGACACTCCCCAGATAGGGAGCCAAGGCCGGGTCACCACTACTTGGAAAAGACCCGGGCCGGGAGAATACCGGCGAATAAAAAAAAAAAAAAAAAAAAAAAAAAAAAACAGGGACAACAGGTGTCTTAAGGAAACACGTCCTAATGTTTCTATCCGTACTGGGAATCGACCCCCAGGATCTCAGTGTGAGAGCTGAGTGCGCTACCAGCCCAGCTACGGGACATTGCTAGGTAAGCAGAGGCAACGTTTCTACCCTAACCAGGGCTTCTAGGTAAACAAGAACAGGAATTAAATTCCGATCGTTTACACCCAAGCTGGGATGTATATCACGGTCACAGTGTATGACCTGAGGACGCTACCAGATAAGCTTGAAATTCGTTATTTGTGAACTGTTCTAGACTCGATATAGTGACTTTTATTCTTTAGTTATTCTAGCGATAAAGACAATAATAATCAGTAATAAAACCTTAATATTCCCACGCTAAAACTAGGAAAACTATGCTAACAAA